CCTAGTCCTGCCCCTGCTTCCGGCCACGGCCCCTCCCCTGCAGCAGCTGCTCCCCCCCCCCCCCCCACACACACAGAGGGGGTTCAGCACCGCGTGGAGACGCCATTTTAAGTCAGTTTTGTCGGCTGACTCAAAGGACATTTCATGTTCGTGTAAGGAAATACCTGGTCCTTCACAATGGTCAAAACCATAGATTGCATGTTTAATGTTCTGAAATGTCAGATATTTATTCATTTAAGATTATTATTTCTTTTATCTTGAAAAATTAATGAAAACCTGTGCTAGCCATTGTGGTGGATTTAAAGATGCAAAATCCAGTCATCACTTAAAATCTAATAAAACTTTTTCAGTCAAGACCTTGTTCTTTAAAATGAAATCCTGATTCTTTGCACTTAGAGGCCTTGTGATCCCCACCAGAAGGAGGTAATTGTCCAGATTGAAAGACAGGAGGAAGATCGTGGGCCAGTGAGGACCACGGGTAGAGGCCCTGAGTTCCAGTCAAACCTTGGAGTCTGCTACTTCCAATGAAATGTCTTCAGGGAGCCTTCTAGTAGGAAACCCAGCATGCCTTCATGTGGACCCCACTCCTTATTTGAGTTAGGGTTTGATCACTGTGTTTTGCAGCTCCCGTACGTGCTGTCAACATCTTCAGACCATTCTCTTAATGCTTCAACACCAGGGTTGTTTGGCAGTGTCAACCAGAGCCCTCGAGCTGCTGTGGTTGCAGTAGGGGGTGCCCAGCCTCAGGTGGAAGACTGTAGATTTTATGCCTGGGGCAAAGTTACAAACTAGATGTAGTGATTTTTGATTCCTGTCTGATTAAATGGGTGAGTTTACCTAGTTTGGATCTTTCTTTATTGTGGACAAGAAAGTGTAAAGACTTAATTTCTGCTGAGTGAGACCTTATTTACATGAGTGCAGTTCAAAGCTGTCTCTCTGACTTCTCTTTTGGATCTCAAGTGTTATATGGTTCCAACCTAATTACGTTAATCAGTCCTGTTTTCTCTGTATCCCCTAAATGAATATTACTTGAGCTATTAAAGGAAAGCAGTCATCTTAGGGCAGGATGTGGCTGTATTATGTTAATATTGTTTGCTACTTCACATTATTACTTGAAGTACGGAGATAAAAATACATTAAAAAATACAAGTATAAATAGGCTGGGGACAGTGGGAGAAGATTCAACATTAAAAGAAGCAAAGAAAGTATCACAAAATTAGATTGGCTAAGCTGGGGAAGGAAGGGGAAGATTAATAATTATAAAGAAAAAAGTTACAATAAAATTACAATTATTCATATATCTTAATTGATTGTGTGTTTAATTCTACCTAATCCTTTTTAAGGAAAAAAAAAAGAATATGTGATGCTTCTGCATAGAAAAACACACTAAATGTAAATATTTATTTTTAAATATCTTTAGGGAGTTGGGAGAGTTTGTTTGCCCAGTATGCCTTCTCCTTAGTCCTTGCAGGATGGATTTAAATAGTATGGATGTGAGTACATGGGCATAGTTAGTGCAGTATAGTTAACTGAGAGGAAGATCTCCAGGAACTCCTGCTGTTCCAGCCCAGTGAGTTACTGAGAAGCCTGGGGCAATTTGTTCAGCTTCTGTGCTGTGTTCCTGGGGCTCTGCTGCCAGTGGCATCTCGGGAATAAAAAGATGGGTCTGGCTAAATGTGCTCCTGTGGAATTTCAGTGCTTAAAACGTATGGGTATGTGGTATTAGTGCATAGCTATGCAGCTAAAGAAATAACAAGGAATGTGGTCATAAATTTGCTGCTGGATTATTTTAGTGAGGGGAATATGGTGTCTGCTTCCCAGGGCAAAAGAACCTTCTTTAACTTTGAGGTAGATTCAGCCATGCCTTTTGTTTGTAGATCGATGGTAACTTTCAGAATTAGCCAAGAGCAGCTCCTTGCTGAATCGTTGCAGTTCATTCTTCCTTTGCACGAGAAGGTGGTTTGATGAATCCTTCCTGTGATGAGTTTCCATGCCAGGTTAACCAATGTGAAGCTGAGCTGCCAAGTGGCACCAGTTGGGCAGAGGAGTAGCTGTGTCCCATGTGAGTCCATGGGGGTGTGGAGCTGCCACTGTGCTCCGTGCAGGATGGGTATCTTGCACACAGCTGGGCGTGGAAGAGTCTCGTGTGTGCAGCCAACTGCTTCCCTGGTCTTGTAGGGCCACCAAGAATGAGGCTGCTGTGTGCTCATCTTGCTGTGTCAGACTGATGCTTCTGGTGGAGACAGACAGTGCCTGATAACTTGGAGATTTAGCATGGGGAGAGAAGAAGAGGTTGCTCAAGAGTTGAAACTTATAAGTGGCTTAGCAATAATCTTTGTACTTAACACCAAACAAAAGAATCCCAAACAAGTAGGTAATAAAATTTACTTTTTCTTCCCCTTTGCTTTTTTTTTTTTTTAACTTCAAATAAGCTTAATTTTGAGGTGATACTTGGCATACAAAGGACTTGCTACCTCTTTGTTAGTGTAGTTATATGGCGATGTGTACAGTATTTTAAGTACTTGGAAAGTGCTTCTAAATGAACCAGTGATGTTTTTGCAATGCTGTTCAAAAGAAACACTTTTGGTTTTAAAATTAGTTTCTAGGCAAGGTACTGGAAACTTTGACTTGTTTGTGTGATCTGTGAATAGGTGTTGATTAGAGCAAGCTTTTCCATTAGGTGAATGTTTCAAATATATTTCTTTATTCAAACAGAACTTCTGAATCTGAAGATAAAATATAATTCAAGCATTTTGCATCAGGCTGTTCTTACATTTACTGTAGCAATAACTGCTTTTGTAGCCTTCCCCAGTGTTGTTTTTCTCCCTTGCACAGATTTGGTACAGCTCTAAAATACTGGGGTTTAATGTTCTTGCTATAGAAAGATATAATGATGTGGGTAGCAATTTTTTCATTATAGCAAGACTTAGTAAGATTTTTTTCTTTTACAAATGATTTTACATAGTTCCTGCTTTTTAGTCTGTTTTAAAAAGGGTTTTGTTGGGTGTGCCACTTATCTGATCTGTAGAGTAGAAAAAGGGAGCCTTGCTACTTACAGATGAGCTGCTGTGCTTTCAGAAGCTGCAGATGATGCAAGCAAAAGAAGGCAGACTCATTTGTCATCAAAATGGTCCAGTTACTTTTGATAAGAAAAACACAAGTTTCTTTGATAAGAAGAACAGAAGTTAGAGCACTCAGAATAAAACTAAAATAATACAAGGTCTGAACATGTATCTGTTCACAGACTGTTCTGTTCTTCAAGCTTTCAATACACAACTGGCTGTTTTAGAAAAGTTGGGCTAAAAAGCTAAAGGACTGGATGTTGTAATACGCATTAGATGCCTAGGAATAAAACTGATTTTTGTTGGGCTTTTCGTACCACCTCCTCCCTGTTACTTAGATTGTGTAGAGTTTTGAGAAAATGAATGTTAACTCTTTTAAGTCAAAGTCTTGGTGCTCTTCACAGGGTACAGTAGTAATGGAGAAAAACCTTTTATAGGCGTATTTCAGCTAACAGTAATATGATCTAATAAAACTAAAATTTCACTTAGGTTTCAGTTTAGTACTTTTACTAAAGAAAAAATAAACTTTCTGCTAAGTCCTTGTCTTTTGAAGCTATCTATTTTAATTTAGAAGTTTTATAGTTGAAAGAATCTAGTTCTGTACTTAAAATATTGTGAGCTTTATTGTGTTTAAAAAAGAAATTCTGAGGGTTCCTGTGTCATTGTTCTCTAAAGTTCAGAATTCTGCTTTACTCATTACTACATATTGCAACTGTAAATGCTTACTTGTAAGAACCTACACAGAAAGGATTTTGTGCCTAGATTAACCAAGAGTAATATGAACTTTGTCTTTGTTTTCAGTCCAGAGGAGCTTCCTGTCCATGATGTAGCGATAGAAAAGGTAAGTCCAGTGTCTTCCAAGTTTTTTTTTAAATAGGAAATAAACATTTATAGATTTATGACTTTAAAAATATAAATCATTGTGAAATGAGGAGATGAAGCATTCTAGTGATTTGCATTCCCAAAGAAACTTATTCTAAGTCTATAAGGAGTTTGGTCCTTGAGGCCATGCTAACTTGTCCACACATCCCTTGGGGCCTACGGGATCTTTTCATGTACTATTTGCAATGAGACATGAGATTTCCTCACCCATTATATGACCTGTTAAAGGAAACAGCTACTTAAGAGATCACACCCAGCTCTGCCCTGAAAGAGCAAGAGCTATTGTCTCTGTGTCATGAGCTGTCATCAGCTGTAGAGGGTGGATGGATTGTCCAAGTGAGGTGATGGCTTTGATGCCCTGAGGAGATTCAGTTCCCTGGGAATTGAATTTCTACTTTTCTAGACCTAGTTTCTATTGGTATTTCCTTTTGGTCAGTCAGACCCATTGTTATCTCTAAGACCAGATCAGATTTTTCTTTGTCCATACTGATATTCTGTATAATCAGAAAACTCAAGGTGAAATATTTAAGGCTGCAAGTTTAAAGTTAGTACTCTTGGTTGCCCAAATCAATAGACTGGGATAAGGGATGGAATGACTTATTCAAAGGCAGCTCAGCTCCCCAAGTGTTAAATGCAGTAGCTGCTGAAAATTAGTTATTTCAAGCTTCAGTATAAGGCTAGTGAGAATAATTCTCATTAAAAAAGGGAAATTCTGAGTCTGGTTCCTGTGCATTTCTGTGTATACAGTCTGAAATAGTTGTTCTTTCCTGCCATGTTTCATTATATTCAATTACTTAGTGTATATATGATTTCATTTCCATCAAAAGGACACAGCAGGATGGTGAGTCTATATATAAATATTAGGCAACTTGGAATTAATTGTGGTGTGTGTGTTTTGAAGCCCTGTTTCACTGTGGCTTTATAGTTAGCCTTAAGTTATTGGGGGAAAATAGAGTCTCCGTTCTTTGTCCCATATTGGATTCAAGCTGTCTGAAACAAAATGTCAGTACGGAAAACATATTTATTGAATCAATGTTAAATTGCAAATCTAGTGCAAATCTTTTATAATCCTGCAGCAATGCTCTTGTGTTAGACTCCTGTTTAAACTCCTGGTGATATCCTGACCTCTGCTGGTTTGAGGTTTTTCTGTCTTCTATCAGTGGCATTTGAGTCTTTGCAATTTTCAATATGCCATTCATAGGATAATTAATATATCATATTAATTGTAGGCTAAGACTGCAAACTTTCTGTGCAGTATCTTATAAGGTCACTTAATTGGAACTATTTATGCTTTCTTTTTGCCTTACTTTTAAATTTAAAAAAATATTCTTATCTTTTAATGTAATTTACGACTTATGTAAAGTTGTGTATCCTTGTGAAATTTGAATCTCTATTCTTCATATACACTCTAGTGTAAAGGTTAGGTCAGGGGTTCTGTGTATGCATGTGCATTTATGTTCATAATACTTTTAATTATGCATTATTAGTGTGAATGCTTCATTGTTGCTTCCTTAATGCTGCAACTTCAATGCTTCATTATGTTGCTGCATATTTGATGACTTAAACACATTGAATCATTGTCCTACATTATTAATTACTTCAGATGAATCATCCAGCACATCTGAGGTTAAAATAGAGGAGGAAAAACCATCTAGAGGAGAAAAGTAGCTGGAGAACTGACCTCAGGAAATGTGGAGTCTGTGTCTTGACTCTGTTTTTGAAGTGCTATGAAAAGTTTTCTAAGTAATACTCTGTTTTGTTTTGTCTTTGGTTTATTAGATTATAAATTCTCTAGGGAAGTGTTCAGCAAATTCTGGTTTTGTCTGAGGCTTCTGGTTCACTGCTTGAAGTGTCAGCTCTAGCACACTTGCTCTCCAAGAAGGTGGAGTGCTACACAAAAGATGGATGCTTGCCAACTTCATGCTATTTTGCTTTCAGTAGAGTGTTATTTACTGACACAGGAGTAAGAAACTTTCTGTGCTTCAGTTAGGGATTCTGTTATTCCCAGTGGCAAGAATTCTTCAAAGTGTAAAATATACTCAGAAGACAGATAAATGGATTAATTTTTTTGGTGACAACTACATGGAACTTGCCTGAAAGAGCAGCAGCTGCATCCCTCTACTCTGCAATGAGCTGTGTCAGATATATCCATGTTTTCAGCGTTGCACCTGTTAGACATGAAAGTGAACATAATTCAGACTAGAAGAAAAATAGCTAAAAGTTTTCTACAACTGAATGCAGAAATAATTGCTGTTTTTACTACAGTGGCATCACTTGAGAACTGGGATAAATTGATACAGAAGACATAAAAGCTTGAACAAGCATACAATTGAAGTGAGTTTCTGGCTCAGAAGACCAAAAATCTTGAAAGTAGATCAAAAGTACAAACAAAAAGACGCTGGGAGCAGATAGGGTTTTATTTTTCTTACCAATTATCTGAACAGCCTGTTGAGGGCAGAGACCTTTCCTGACTTGATGGTGATGTTATTCCTGCAATCTAAACTATGCCTAGAGAACATCTGCTTTAAGAGATGTTAACAATGGTTATTTCTTAAAGGGGTCAGGAGTGTAGATGAGAATCAGAATCAGGGTTGTGAAACCTATGAAATCTGGGAAGCAGTAGTTTTTCTACAGTTCCCTCTAATGAAAGCCTTAAGAAAACTGTTTTAAATAAATATATAAATATATGAAAAGCAAGTGTTTAAGATGTTACAAAATACAGCATGGAACCTGAACAAGAATGTGGGCAGTTGTTTGTAACATGCATAGTTAGATAAGTTAAGGTTGAAAAAGTAGAGGCACTTCTTTCCCTGTAACTTTCTTATGTAAGCTTACATCAGCTGGGCTCAAAAAGAAAGAAGTTAGAGAAAAAAACCCAAGCAATTAATTTCCAGGGCACTTCATGGACTGAATCATGGCTGGGATGATCAATAGTCATCAAGTTGTACTGCAAGTACAAGACTTTGGTCTCCTGGATTAAAGGAATCCTTAGCCCATTTTGTTGCACTGATAGCCAAGAAAGAATGAACAAATTCTGATGAGTAAGAACTAGAAGTAAAATTAGAATTCTGTTGAGACGATAAGTAATAATTTTCTTTAATATTTTCCCCCAACACTTCAGATGGAGTTAATGAAACTAATAATAAGTTTTCAGTATCCCGCAGAGCTTTGAAATTAAACCCTGACATCGTTACCAGATTGCATCACTAGCCATATGAGACAGTAAGGAAGTTCAGCACTCCTTCCTATCTTTATTAAGCCTTGGATTTGAAGTTGGAGGAAGACAGGCTGTCCTCTGCAAAAAAAAAAAACAACAAGCCCTAAATATTTGTTAATGTCATCTTAGAAGAAAAATAACTAATACCACACATGTTTTTCTGCTTGAGCTTCTGCTTATCCTGAGCTCCAAAGCATTATGAAGGAGTTGAAATAGTGTAGGTTTTTGATTTGTTTTCTTAATGTAGTTAATAGTTAACTATTAGTATACCAAGAGACACCTAACCTGCTTTAAGTTTGTAAAACTAGGCTGTAAAAATATGCACTGAAGCTCTTCCTGTCATTGGAACCAGCAAAATGAAGATTTTTGGCTGTGAAGCGCCAAAGTGCCTTGAAATTCCAGGGACTAAAATAGGCAATTCCAAGTGCTTGTGTGGTTCTCAAATTAAAAAAGTTGATGGTGACTGTAGCAATGTTTTCATACGCAGAAGGATCCTCCTTAAGGCAGTTCCCTGGTTTTAAAGCTGTATATAATGTGAAGGATGTGTGGAATTTGTATATTTCCTATGTTACATTATATACCACTTAATATAACTGTTTATTTTGAGAAGGGGTTTGTTTTGTTTTGAATTCTCATTTTATCACCTTGTTACTGAAATATTCTTGTCAGTAATAAAATTTAAGGGAGTTGATCTTACCTTCAGAAAAAATTATTGATGTTAAGATACAGGGTCATTTAGGTAAAAATGTACCAGGCCAAGGATGAGAATCACCACAAGGCTTTCTAGCTTTTAATATCCAGAATTAGAGCTTATTCCCACTTCTGCTGTTGCTCTGTTATACTATGTGCTTGTTTTTGTTCATTTACTTTGTGCCTTTTATGTGATCACAGGAAAACGGCAGCTGATTATGTTTAGGGCACGTGTGGGTAAAGGTGATCATTGTTTCAGAGTCATCTACCTTTTAAGAAGCTTGCAGCGTTAATTATTTGCCTGAAAATTTACTGAATACAGAAACAAATTTAAGGTGTTTTTGTATTTGCCAAAAAAAGTGTAGAGAAGAAACTTTACAAAGATTGTACTTAAACTCCTCTTACAAAATGCAGTTCTTTACATTATTCTAAAAAAAAAAAAAGTTTCTGCCTGTTTTTTTTATTGGCTGGAGTTTTTTTTGTCTTAAATTAATTGATGCTACTCTTCTTTGCTCTTCTTAAATTACTGGATAAAAAGTTGATGCTGTGTTAAACTTTTTCTCAATATTTCTAGAAAAGCATAAATAATTTTGAATGTATGCATTTTGAAAAGATTAAAAAATCTGATTTATTTTTTTTCCTAGCAAAAGCACCTTGAAATTGAAAGAACTACAAAATGGCTTAAGATGCTGAAAAGCTGGGAAAAATACAAGAACAGTGAAAAGGTAAGGTCATGCATGCTTTTTTCGTTAGCTATCACTTCTGAATGTATGAATAATGTTAAATTAGATTGTCTATATTTATGAGATCTAAATAAAAAAACCCCAAAGCCCCCACACTGAAAGACAAATGCATTTTATTCTTCCAAAATGCAATGATAACCCAACAATCTGGTGGTCACATGCAAGGGATTTCTGAGGGCACTGTCACATAGGCTCTCTAACATACTCATTGTAGTAATTGTGTGCTTGCACTGTGGGGTGGGCACAAGGATCACACACCAGTCTGTGTTCACCTGTGCAAAACAATCTGTGGGTCAGGTGAAGCATCAGACCTGCTTGTCTTTTCTCGCAGAGAGCTCCAGTGGTGTTGGATTTAGACTCTAAGAATGCAAAGGAGGGAAAAGAAAAATTGCTAAAAACTTGAAAAGAGGGGACACCTTTGGGTGGGTATAGCTGAATTCTTCAGAAATCATAAATCTCTCTCAAGGGTTATGAATTTTAACTTTGCTTTTTAAAATTTCTTTGTATGCTGGATAATGTAGTATTAAAATTACTCTTGAGATACTGGAGTATTTGTCTTATGATCTATGAGGTTTTTTGTTATTAATCTCTTCTGTGGTTTCCTTTTTTTTTTTTTTCCTTTTTTGCAGGCCAGGTTTACTGAAGGGCCTAGGATAGCTTACAGTCTTGGATCAGTGAAAACCTCCTTGAATAACTCTCCAAGGAAACTGATTAGTCACAACATGAGGCATATAGTTTGATGTTTAAATTATCACACTTGCCAGCACATATATCTTAGGATATCTCAAGATACCTGGTTGCTTTGATAAAAGGAGAGTTGCACTGATTAAGTTAGAAGGTAAAAAGTAAAGGAAGCCATTCAGTGCCCTATCCCCTTGGGATAAATCTGTTTTTCCTGTGAATAATATGCAAGACAGCATTCATAATCTTCAAGAGAAGTGAATTTTTTTGTTATTATGAATGGGATCTACTTTTGAATAGAATACTTTATAACTTGATGGGCTTTTTTTTCTATTATAGAGCCAGTATGGAAGAACTGAAATATGCTGGCAGCTACTTAGCATGCCCAGAAGTACTATATTTCTTGACTTTACAAAAAAATAGAAGTACATTTATTTTATATGTGAAGCAGCAGGTGAATTTGAAGGAAGTGAATTGGCCCATTAATAATCTTTAAATTGCTTTTGAGTTTTTTTAGTTACAGAATTATTTTTATCCTACTCAGACAACAAATAATGGTCTGGAGGTAATGACAGAAAGTGGGTTATGTTAGGTATGCCATTAAGTGCTAAGTGCTTTTACTTGCTTCAAAAGCTATGTAGAGATTTTCATGTGAATAGTTTATTTGCTGGAATTGCAGTCTTTGTCATCGTTGGATTCTGGAAGAATTTCAGCTGGTAAAGAACTTTCTGGAGAGGCTGTATTCTCAAGACTGTGTTTTGGGGAGGTTTTCCTATCTATTCTTCTGGCTTTTTGGTGGATAATGTACAGAATATGAGGTTCTCAAATTTCCTCATCTCATCCAGAGGGCTTAAAACTTGTATTTTCTGCTGGGGATTCTGTTGGTTTTTTCTGATGCTGCTGATCCCACCCATCTTTTGCTGAAGACTAGAAGACATCTGTTGTGCATCCTAGCTGACTGGGTGATTGTCCTGCAACAGTAGCTTACTCCCTTAGTAGCCTTTCATTTTGGTAAATTGTTCTGTGCAAACTTTGAAGGGTGATACAAAGACGAGAATACTTGTTTGCCTGATGAGCAGGGAGCTGAGGTGCTGTAATTGAAGCAGAAGAAATTTACTCGGCGTGTCCCCTACTCTTTGTGTCTGCTTACTACCTTTAGTCTTGAGACTAGTAGCTATGTCTTGCACTTTGGTTTCATTAAAAAAACAAAGCCAGTGGTTGGTGCTTTTCAGGCTATGACTAAGAAGCTAGCAAAAGAATTTTCTCAACTGTATCCATGAAAAAGTAATAGTTTGTTTCACAAGTTTTTCTCATAAACCTACTTTCTGTCCTGCCGTTTCCTGTGGAAAGAGAAGCTAGAGGGCTCAACATTTGTGGCTTTGTTTCTTTACTGTAGCAATTGGGTGGTTTGAAGATCAAGTATGTTCCCAAGTCAAAGGGATGCTAAAAAAATTGTGTAACAGCTACTTCATTTGCAGAGAGAATGTTAAATATGACCTTTCAGGTAACACAATAGCTGTGTGTTACCCCAGCAGCAGCAATCTTCCTCTTCAGCCATCAGTGAGGTCAGTCCATTACACTCTCACTTAACTGACTAATCCCCTATTCCCCAACCATGCAGAAGGTACAGGAGATCATCTGAGCTGAAAGAGTTTCAGTTCATGTAACAAATTATAGGCTGGATAATAAATAGTGGCAGGAATAATTCAATATGTTCATGAAGAGGATGAACTCTGCTTGAGGCTAGGAAAGATTTTCATCGATTGTTGAACTCTGGTGGAGCGTGAGACTCTAAAAACTCCTTGTTCTTTCTTGCATCATGTGTGGTAAGTGAACCAGAAGATACAGAATAAAGAATCAGCTTCTTCCTCCTCCCGAGCATGCAGAGGAAAGTCGGACATTATTTGTCACTGCTCTTCATGGAAAGCTTGGTGGTGTTCTCAGGCTTGTACAAAACTCCCAAATAAATGCAGATTTTACCTGCAAGTGTGCTGGAAGAAAGCACCAGCTTTCCATGCTTACCTTCTTGAAGTGTGGAAGCAATACCTGCAAGAACAACTCCTGACTCTTGCATTCTGTCTTCACTTGATTAGATAAAGTGGTTAACACTAGAGGAACAAATTGCTAACGAAAATGAACAGTCTATATCTTAAAAGTCTCACTTCACCTGACATTCCCATGGTTTCTGTGCAGTCAGGGTGCTCCTGAAATCAGCCTTCTTTAGAAACAGCACTGAAGGGAACATAGTGGGAACAACAACAGCAAAAACACAGGGCTGTAGATTACAGTTGTAGTGGTGGCTTGGTTTTGGAAAATGGCATACTTTAGAGATGCCTGTGTTGTCACGAAGAGCAAACGAGAGTCAGAGGAGGTGCTGGTCCTTGGAAAGTGATGTGTAGAGCAGGTATATACAAAGTACAGGACTTCAAAAAGCCGTTTGAAATGAGCCCTGATGTTATACAGCTGAGAGAGTTTTGGCTTCAGGAAATCTGTTCGTACTGTACACATACCATAAATAAATCCATATATTTTATTACATTATCCAAAGCTGTCACATGCTTACTTGTAAAATAAAGTTCTCATTTAATTTACAGAGCTGCCTTTTGGCTACTCCCTAATTTTTTTTCCATCATAACATCACAAGGAGAATTAATGAGAGAACATTAACACAGTGATGCGTGTGTGTCTGTTTCTAAGTTGCTTCAGTTTACATCTTTCCCTGATTTTTATTGTGGAAGAATGCCTCAAGAGAGAGATGGAGACTGGGCACTTTACCCTTTTCCCATTACAACTGTGCTTAAACCTAATTTTTAGAAAAAAAAAAAAAAAAAAGGATGGGAGGGTGGGGAATGGAGGGCAGCAGTGTTGTGACCATGAGGAAGCAGAAAGCAGTGGAAGAGTTGAGACCAGAAATGTTATCAGTCTCTACCATATTTGAGTAATGATTTAAAGGTAATGAAGGATGACATAATAAAATGAACCCATGTAGAACTCCATAACCATGTGTAAAGCTCCTTGATTCCTACATGATTATTTAGGCTTCTTTTCAGTGGAGTTATCATAATTCTTACAGACACCAGTCTCTGAAGTGTGTAATGGCCATTGTGTCTTTGCACGATTGATATTTGTCAAAGCTTTCATCTCCCCATCAGTCATTTCTTATGCAGGAGCTGTCATAGAGCAGCCAAGTTTGTGTTTCAGTGTGGTCTTTCTCTAGGCTTTTATTTCCTATTTGTATTCTACTGCTTAATAATCCCAGGTTCAATAAACCATCACACACAGTAAATCTTTCCTGGCTTAGTATGATCATAACTTTCAAGAAAGATTAAATAAAACTGTTGTATGTTATATTCCCATTTGAATATTTCCACCAAAGTATTTCTGTCTTTTCCTGTCTGCCTTCATCTATCTGTGATTGAAGTTGCCTAAATTGAGAGGGAAAGGAAGAAGAGAAACAATCAGGGTAGCTGGCAATTTCCAGCTGTTCTGGCATTCACACAGAATATAATAATCAAGTCCCCACTTAGTCTGGAGTCTGAACACAGAGCCATAATGAAGAACCCTCTTCGCATGCCTGAGATTTTTTGAATGTGATTGAGCAATTCTTGTATTTGCACTTTATCTTCCTTTTATGCAACCCACAGAAGTTGAAGAACCTCTAAAGGCAGCAGCCTTTGTAAATATACTTTCTTTTCATCATAAATACACTTTTTTGTGAGTCTTCAGGTTTTAATTCTTACACTTCTCATCACTGATTCTTTTTGAGGCAGCAGAGTCCCTCTGCTGCTTGTGCTTCCTGACATAACTGAGAAAGTTTTATTTTTGAGAAAACTAGTTGTACATCTTGCAGCATCAGAAATACCCATTCTCACTCTTCAGACTAGTTCTGATAGTGGCCTCATTTCTTATCCTGTGACTGGCTGGATTTATGAGTTTAGGAGATTGGGGAAGGGGAAAGAAGGGAAGGTTGTGTGTTCTGAAAGTTTTTTGCATGAAGTTTGCATTGAATGTTGAATGTTATGAACTTCATTATTTGACAGGATGGCTAATTTGGAATATTCCAAGTTTGAAAGGTTTTATCTTCTTGCTTTGTAGGTCTTTTAATTAAAATTCTGTATGTTCTCTTGTTTCACAGTGGGGAGGTCCAATTTACAGGTCCCGTTTCTTTTGGCATGAGAAGCTCCTTTTGTATTTGCAGGTGGGTAGGGCTTCATCTATTGATGTCCTACCTACTTCAAAATCAACATTAATAGTAGTTGCAAGAGTTTATGACAAATATCCTTGGCTGAATATTAGCTTAGATGCAATACTGAAATTGAACCTGTATTTTTATATAAGTTGCTTTTGTATAAATGATATATACTGAGGATGATTTTCTTTTTCTGTGTCCTGTGCTGATGGAAACGTCTCAGATTCCATAACACTATTCTTTGAATAATGCTTATTTTCATACAACATATATCTGAACTGAGTTTATATACACATATTTTGTGTTATATGAAGAAAGCCTTAATTTCAACAAATTTATTGAAGGTTGACTCGTTTAATCTCCCCAGAAGCAGAAAAAAAATAAATTGCTGAATTTTCTATTTTTTATTAACTTAGAATAGACGAGTAGATTAGAGTTCTGCAAGCATGTAGACCCAGCCTAGCTTTTAGCAGCATGTTTTCAACGTTATATTAAATATGGAAAGAAAAGACAGCAGAGGGCAGTGGTGTGGTACTTATGATTAAGATGTTAAATTAGTTAATAATCAGCTTGCTCATTTTACATGTTCTTTAGCTGTTTGGTTACTAAATGATTATCAGAAATGTTTTTTTCTGTGAAGCGTATGTGGGACATCCCACTGTCTCCCCCTTTCCCCCCCAGCCCTCGAGATGCAGTGCAGCCATGTCATTTTTACAGAATAACACAAAATCATGCAGGATGATTGAGGTTGGAAGGAGCCTTTGGAGGTCATATGGTCCAACCCTTCTCTTCTAGCAGGGCCACGTACCAGACAGCTTCTGAGTATCTCCAAGGATGGAGACTCCACAACCTGTCTGGGTAACCTATGCCAGTGCTCAGTCACCTCACAGTAAAAAAAGTGTTCCTGATGTTCAGAGGGAAGCTCCTGTGTTTTCAGTTTGTGCCCATGCCATCTGGTCCTGTCACTGGCCACCACTGAAAACTCTGGCCTCTTGGCAGCCACCCTTCAGGTATTTATACATATGGAGAAGATTGCCCCGAGCGATTTATTCTCAAGGCTGAACAGTCACAGCTCTCTCATCCTTTCCTCATATGACAGGTGCTCCAGGCCCTGAATGATCTTGTTGACCCTTTGTTGGACTCTTCTCTGTTATGTCCATGGCTCTCATGTACTGATCCCAGTACAGAACACACTACTGATGAGCAAAGGGGAAGGATCACCTGCCCCGACCTGCTGGCAATACTTTTGTCTATTGCAGCCCAGGATACCATTAGACTTCTTTGCTGTAAGGGCACATTTCTGGCTCATTTTCAACTTGGTGTCTACCAGGACCCTCACATTGCCCAAGCAGCATTCTAGCTGGGTGACCCCCTCAGCACCTACTGGTGCCTGGGGTTGCTCCTCCCAAGGTTCGGACTTTGCACTTCTCCTTGCTCAACTTCATGAGGTTTCTGTCGAGGTCCCTCTGGGTGGCAGCAGAACCCTCTGGTGTATCAGCCATGCCTGCCATTTTTCTATTGTATATAAAGTTATTTGCACTTGTTTCCATGTTATCTTTTGTGTAATGGAGGCTGTGCCATGAAAGATCTGCTCTTGAGTTACACTTCTCTCTTGTATACAGGACAGACAGTGACAGTCCTTAGTCTTGTTTTCTGTTGAGTCTGTAGGCAGGATCTTGTAACAACTTAGAAAGACTGAGAGCTTGTTTCTCCACCTAAATAAAAGAATAGTTGGAATAGCAGAGTCAGCTAGATAGAGATCTGAAATGGTTTGCAGGAAGCTCAGAATGTTATTTGAGTTTGTTCTGTCAGGTAGTGCAGTAAATTTGATCTTGGCTACTGAAAATGTTTGCTGTCCTCTTTTTTTGTTGTTGTTTTGTTTTGTCCTTTCCCCCCACATAACTGTAATGGGATGATAAAACTGTTGTCCTCTCTGCACTTTCAAAAGTTACTTTTGCCAACTAATTTTTCAGACTTTTCTTTTAAAAGCACTTCCACAATTCCCTGTTTTAGTTTTTCCTTAGTACTTCAAGGACTCTTCTAGTGTTTGGCTGTTACAGTCTGGGAAGTACAGAAGACTGGAAGGCTGTTAATGCCACTAAATCCTCTGAAACTGGTTTTTCTTCTCCTAAAAACAACCCTAAACAAACCCCACACTTCAGACATTTTGAGCTTGTTTCAATTCTATTTCACTGAGAAACTGTTATTATGAAGACTTATTTCTAGTCTGTGATGTGTGCCTGACCAGTTATTAATTTAGACCAAAAGTTGTCTTAAGACTTTCTTTTTCAATTAGTTATCTTCATTAATAACTTTATGGTTGTTGGAGACATTGAAAGATAAGTTGCAAAATGATAATTACCTGGCAAAGATATTTGTTATCAAGGTGCACTGTTGCTGTACTGTGTGTCTGAGGAATGCAGCTACATCTGACTGGGGATGCATAATACTGTTGTGGGTTTTTTTTCAAAGTTTCCAGTAAAGATTTTGCAAATTTGGTTGATTCTGCTTTCTAGTAGCCAGGCTAATCTTTTTGCAGGATGACTCCACTGCAACTGGTGTTCCTTGGCTTTCAATAGACTGAATTACCCTCTCTCTCACAAGCAGTTATCTGTGTGCCTGGATTGACACACTGAAATTCTCTCTGTGAGCTGAAGTCTGGAAGTACTTCTGTAGGAGGGAGCTTTGTAGCACTGGACCTTGTTCTTTGTCCTTACAGAAGAAACTGTGCTGACAGAATTGTGCTTGTACTAGAAATGTTGCTACTTAAGCAATCTCTAATATTAAGCCATAACCCTTCGAAGTTACCTGCTCTGGCAGGGGTGCTGGACTAAGTGATCTTCAAATGTCCCTTCCAACCCTTAACATTCTGTGATTCTGTGGAGTTTTGTTTCCATAAGAATGTTGTTGAAATTCTTGTGTCAGAGTTAACACATTTTAAAATCCAGACACGAATCCTTCCTGGCATAAAAGACACCTTCAAAGATCTGATGTGTCCCAAACAGCAGGAGGTTTGCAAATATACTGCAAGGAGAGGTTCATTAATCTTCCAAAACTGGAGACATGAAACATGTGAGAAAGAAAAAAGGATCCTGTCCTTGAGGGGGACATTTCTTGTGAAATATTTCTTAGGTTACAAACAAAACTTTTATAAATGTTTTAAGGAAGTGATAGCTTTTTCAGTTGACATTCTTAAGTTCTGACTTTCATTGTAGGTTCCCTTTGAAATCCAGTTGTCTCTCTATGCCATCATTAAAGCAATGGTAAAAACAGAATTTCAGAAAGGTTCATTTTCTTTGTTAGAGTTCTGTGGCTTTTGCTTTATCAGACACATATCCAGAAGGATGAGAACTTTTTTTTTTCCTGTAGGTTTTTCGGAATTAGTAGTATTCAGTTGCTCTGAGGCTTTGCTTACCTTGAGTAAGATGGCTGCATAAACCATCAGATGAGTCCAGTTCTTCATGCTCTGAAATGCTGCAGCATGAAGAGACGCAAATCAGAAGAGAAGAAAGGAAGGCAGTTGTCAGTGCTCCTGATTTTTTTTCAAATATGACCACTAAGAACCAAACCACTGGATGAGAGTGCAAGAACAGTGGCATATCAGAGGCAAGATCAAGAGATGATGTAGCTACCCTAGTTACACACATGTGCTGAGTTACCCTCTTCTGACCCGTTTCTAATACAAGCTTTATGTGTCAGAACAGAATGTGTCAGGAATGGGGAATTTAGTTTTCTATTTCACGGCTAAGAATTGTACACAGTGTTAGTAAGTTGTTCTGTATTCTTAGAAGCTGTAGCTAGAATATCTTTTATATGTTGTTTTTGTGCAAATGTTTTAATATACATTTAGGAAACTTACTCTTAGTTTATAAATTTGATCTGAAAGCTTTAGAATGGTGATCTCATGTTTGTTTGGTATGCATCCATACATTTCAGCACACTGTTACAATTTTACAAGAATACAAAGATCAGTTATGCTTTTTTGGGGGGTGATCCTGCTGATTGCCTTGTGCCATTCCCTTTTATAGTTTGTAATTACAGTAGGCTATTTGTGGCTTGTCCTGAAATACTGTCTTGCTAAGAATCTGATTTTTGGGGGGTCTAAATTACCAAATTTGGAGTTATCTTGCCAATATTTGTAGTATAAGTGCTGCTCAGCAGGGGTGATACAATTTTTGTATGCTTTTCTACATGCTAAAGTCCTGGCTCATACATATCACCTGCATAAAGTGATATTTTGGCCTGTGTGTCTATTTTGTTTTCTGTGCTTCTGCTGATTCCATCAACAGATATCCCAGATGGTGTCACTGGACACTTTTCAGTCCCTCAAAAGACACTGGAACACTTTGTCACCAGCAGATTGTCCCTTTGGCAGGACAATTGATGTAAATGTCTTTTTCTTTTCAGAATGTTGTATGTCATTGTTCCTTTTGTTCAGAACATTGTAGCTTGTACTGCATTTATATTTTATTTTATTTTTACAGTTTCACAGGAGAATTTATAAAGGAATCCCACTGCAGTTCAGAGGGCAAGTCTGGTCTTTACTACTTGATGTCCCTAAAATGAAAGAAGAAATGAAAGACTTTTATAATGTGAGTTTTAAAAATTTCTGCTTAATATTTATTAAAACATTTCAGATACTAAGATTGCACACTTTATTAAGCTTCTGTTGTCATGCAGCATTTAAAGAAAAAAAAACAACACATGAGAAATTACATCAAACCTGTTTTAGCTAGGGGAAAAACTATGTTTTGGAAAGCACTTCTCTAGCTTATTTTTTGAGTCTGTAATTTATGTAATTATTTAGATCTTCTTTTAATTTCTTTTCACATCCTCAAATCCTTGCAAAAGCCTTTCTAAAAGCAAAGCAAAACAAAGTAAAACAACCCCTGTCCCAGTAAGAAGACAGAAAACTCTGAAACGACAGCTTTTTGAGAAATGTCTACTAGGAAGCTCCTTGTTAGCTCAGTATCAGTAAGAGGAGTTCTGGTATTCTGGAGAGGATGGAGGTTGGTGCCTTAATCTTTTAAAAGCCAGAACAAGCTAGCTGTCTTTCTGCTATCTCATCTCCAAGTAAATCTTAGCCCTTACAAAGCCCTGTCTGGTTACTTGATTGTATTCTCAGAGGTTCACCTGATGACAGGAACTTAACCCCATGAAATTCTGCAGGCATAGACCGACCACTTCAGCATATCTCTGACTTAAAATAGAAAGAAAATAGCTATGTCTTAATTCCCCACCCCAGTCTCTGTCTTCAGCCTCAGTAGCAGTTAAAGCAACCTCTGAATTATTGTGGTTACATTCCTCTAAATTTTTTCCCTCCTAACTCAGTTTTGTGTGGGTGTGAATGTAGCTGATGGCCATCAGAGCTGGACTTGAAACCAAGACTGAAGACTAAGGTTCATGTGCATGCCTGTTAAGTTAAGCAGAATGGAAATTAAATCCTTTAAACTTCTGTCTTTCCTTTTTTGTCTCTTTTTCTGCTAAATGATTATAAGAGAGTTTAGCTAATAGAACAGCAATTTAATATTGTAGAGTGTTTGAAATTTTCCCCACAGGAATTTCAGTGTTCACTGCCTTCTGAAGTAATCATGTTCAGAGTTTCAAGGAAATGAAGTGCTGTTTTGAGTTTGGCATTTTCTAATAGTGCTTTTTGGAGCTGAAGCTTTGGGTCTGAGTAGACAAGGAATCTTATATGGTCATGAAAGAAGATCAGTGGTGACATTGATGTTATCTACATTTTAGTCTCTGTGATCTATACCTTAAATTATGTATTGCTCTTTAGTCTGACATACTGCTCTTTCTCACTTTTTTATTTTGTTTAACTTTTCAAGACTAGTGGCAGTTCCAAAAAGGATAAAACAGCTCATACTGGATAATGTAGTTGTGGGAAAGAATACTGAGTAAAACAAGGATTTTAAAAATAGGTGAATTAATCTTCAGACATGATTAATGCCATCTAGTGCTCAGTGGAAAACAAAAGTGTGTTTATAGTTCAGAGACAGAAGTAGAAAGAACTTCTATCATTATCCTAGTTTGTTTATTTGCAATAAGCTCATTTTAGTGTTCTCCATTTTTCCCATTTCCTGTAGTAATATTAACACTTTTTATTACAAGTATCACAAATTGCACACCTTAAAATTAGAAGGAAAATACATACTTTTGCTGTAGGTCAGACAGCTTCTTTCAGCTCTCTGGGCAGGGCAATGACCAGTTCTTAAGCTTCTGTCCTTTCCCTTCAAACTCTAGATGCCATTTCTTTTCACTCACACTGGAGGCTCCCATGATGGCAAGGACTCAAGGTGCTGCTTTTCCCACTTTTCAACAAATCACAGGCTCAGGGTCCTCCTGCCACCTTAAAAATAAAATTTTCCCTTCTGTTCTTGCTGTCTAGGGGACATTGTTCTGAAATTCAGTAGTTCAAATTAAGTTGAAAGTTGCATGAAACTGATTGTGGTGAATGTTGCTGGTTAATGGTGGCTAATTCTTAGTTCAATGACTTAGAGGTAATTCCTGATATGTCTGAAGCTTCTGGTTGTGTTCAACAGACTGAATGGATGTTGTTCTTCACTGTTTCATCCCTTTGTTTGTCATATTTTTGTCTTTTAACCTTTTTGTTTCCTTGCAACGAGAATCTGTGGAGTTCTTTCTTTCAATATTCTTTAATAATGCCTACTCAGATGTAATATTTTGAAAATACCACATTGAATACAGTTAGAAATGTCTTGCAAACTCAACTTTTAGGAACAGAAGTGAGAATGAATGAAAGAATCTCAAGAGAAAATTCTTGTAAGAGTGAAAAATGAGGTGGCAATCTAACCTGTGCAGGCTTCCTAAGTATTCAATTGCAAAACTGAATTTAATTATAAAACATTAAAGCAAGTGTGGAAGCAGAGGTGTTCTACAACTAAATTGAAACAGAAAGATAGGAAATTTCTAGAGAAATGTCCATTATCTCTACTTGGATAATAACTGGCAACTATGTAGCTATTACATCCATCTGCTTGGAGGAAAAAAAAATCCAGAAAAGTACAAAACCCGCACTAAATAATTTGCTAGAAGTCTAGTATGTGGAGCACTTGTATCTTAGTTTCTTGTTCCTGAGAAGTAAAATTCACTTTGTCCTCCTCCAGTGATGTGCCTACCTGAGAAATAACAGTAAGAAATCTGAAATGCTGAAACATAGCCTCAAATATGGGTGGTGAAGGCTGTGTCATGAAAATGTGTATTATGGGATTGGTCTTTTTACATCTATGCTGTGTAAATGTATCTGCCTCTATAGAATTCATAAATGTACATGGAGATTTTGGAAGCTAAAATTGTCATCTTGTGAGTTGCTGTTCTATGTTAAAGTGTTTTAAATTGTAAAACGGCAAATTCTTCAGGATAATTGTAAAGGCTGGCAGGTTTTGGCTATTTTAAAGTTCACAATTTTAAACTTAATTTCTGATTTTTTACTTTTTTTCCTAGAAATTGAAGTGTCAAGCACGAGGGTCTTCACCAGATATTAGGCAAATTGATCTTGATGTAAATCGAACATATAGAGATCATATCATGTTTCGTGACAGATACGGTGTTAAGTAAGTAAATTTAAAGGTTTTGTTTGGTTTGTCTTAAAACTGGCTTCCCACCTGCCTCAAGCCTTTTAGACTTGCACAATAATATTGAACGTAATCTCCAAACTTTCCAAGCAGGATTGTCTGTGTGCAGTGATGTAATTGCTGTTACTATTGCAAAACCAGACAGTCACTTCCAACCAATTAGTTTTCCCTTAGTATGAGGTGGTCAGTAGCATTCCAAAGAAAAACACTTCTACACTGTTCTCATCTTGTTTCATATTTAATAAAAACAGAGATTGTAAACACAAAAGCATAGAAATTTCAAGCTGGTAAGTTAATTAAGATGGATTACCAATCTTTTTATTTAACTGTCTGTTTTCAGAAACAAAATAACTTTTTGCATTTCTACTACCCTTTATCTTCCCAGGGAGTCTAGCCTTCCTTTGGATTTTATATTCCTCTTCTCCCAGTATCTAATTCTGAACCAAATAAAGTACATATATATTATACTTTTCTATATATCTTACATAGTCTATTCTATAGATTTACTATATTTTTATTATAGATTATAAATATTTATTATATATGTGAGCATTGATTTATTATGTATGTAGGCCATAATGCTTTTGGATTTCTTCTAAATGTGGAGGTTTCTTTAATTGTCATTACATGAGGAATATTGGGCAACTGTCATCTTTAAAAATAATTGTGAAAAAAGTGGCGACACAAACATCAGCGTTTTTGGTAGTTTACAGCTTGAGCACCCTGCTGAGAAAAAGAGGGTATTTTCCCATCTGTGACTGTATTAGTTCAGTTTTTAATCTCCTTTTCTTTCTAAGGCAAATTCTGCAGTAGTCTGCTATTTTCAAAAAGCAATACTTAGAGCTGTGGGCTTTCATGTGGTAATAAACCAAACATCATCTTATTTTAGGTATTTTGCGGACAACTTTTAAATACGGGGAAGTTCTCTGGGGGCTGCAACACAGAGTGGAATACAATGCAGAAATTCCCAAGCTGAGAGCTATTCTGTGCAGTTTAGCTCTGTTTGTGCAGTGCTATCTATACTTGAGCCTACGTGCCTTGCCTCTCAGGAGTGCTGACAGAGCCGTGCAGAAATGTCTGTGTTGCCTCTGGGCCTCAGCAAGTTTTTATGCACACATTTTAGGTGTTAGCAGAAGCTCGCTACCCCCTCAGTCTGGGGTTAACACCAGCACAGCCAGCTCCAGTCCCTGTAACTTATGTTGTAAGCATGCCCTCAGAGTCCACAGGAAAGCCTTTGGCTGCATAAAGCAATTTCACACTTGGAATAGATCTTGGAATTACTGCACATATATTATGCATTTCCAGTGACGCCTCAATAAAAAGATCAGAAATCATTTCACATAGCGATGAAATAAAGTCCCCCCAGGTAAACCAGTAGCTTGTTTGACTTTTAAGTAGACTGTATGTCTTTGAAGGTTCATTCTTTTACAGGTCTTTATTGGGATAATCAAGTGCAAATAGTACTAAAATTAACGTTATTTTATGTATTTTACTGTGAATGAGATTGAGCTCTTATGTTCAGTGTCATATGGTCGGCTGAAGATACAGATTGTTCCTGTGTACATTTGGGACCTTTTAGTTTGTGCTTGTAAAATAAGGCTCCAGCTTGAGGTCTAGTACTTAAGGTTATGCTTGACTTTGGTTACTGAAGAATGGCTAAGCTTCAATTCTGCAAAAGGACAAACAAAAATGCCGTAATCTAGATGTTTTGACAAAATTCTCCCGCTGTGCATTCTCTTCCCAATAGAGTAGCTTTTTGCTTCTACCTTCTTTTCTTGACCTGCTGGTATCTATTTCTAGACATTTGGTTAGTGACAGTCAGAGGGAATTTCACAGGACAGAAAAAGGAGAGCATGCAAAACTCAGCAGTTAAATTTTAGCAGTTTCAGTTGCAGATGAAACTAGGCATTTAGATTTCCAAACTCTCTCCTCAACAAATCACAACAAGTAGGTGTCACTCTAAAAAATAATTATGAGAGCTCTCCACCATGATTTTGATATCCCAATTGGAAAGGAGCAGAGTTTTGGTTTGGGTTTTGTGGTTTTTCTGTTGTTTATGGGTGGTTTGGTTTTTTTTGGCTCATTACCTTCACAGGGTAGACTATTTTTACAGAAAACAAAGTATCTATGCAAACCTTTTTGTAATTCTAACTCTGACGTACATGTTGATCAATACACTCTGGAGAACCGAGCATAGGATGGCGAGTCAGAGTTGATGTTTTTCTTCAGTTTGACAGTAGCAGTCACTAAAGAAGCCTTTAGTTTGGGTGTCAAGATTAAGTCATCTTTGTGGCTATTTTGTCTATTTGAACTCCTCTGCATCTCTGTTAAAAATCAGTAAAACTGTTAGCATTCTGCAAGCACAGAAGTCAGATCTGGGGTGCTTAAAGTTTGGAATAAATCAGGGTTTGAAATGTAGCCTCTCCTATGTTTAGCTTTACCTGATGATCTGACACCATTGCCTTCTCAAAGTGTTACAGGTATTTTTTGAAACCTTTCCACATGTAAAACATCTGAAAAGTGATAAATGTAACATTGGTTTGAAATCAGAAGCACATCATCATGAAATGTGGTTTGTCCTGTTCTTTAGTGCTAGGCAAGTTAAATTGGGAAAACAGGTTTCTGAAACGTAGCTCACTACTTTTATGTTTTTACAGAACAGTATTACAGTGTTTTCATTTTCTACTCTTGTTTCTCCAGGCAACAGTCTTTATTCCATGTTTTAGCTGCATATTCCATATATAACACGGTAAGTTGTGTACCTTCACATTTGATATGCTTTCTCTGAATGTGCCATAAGATAATAACTTGCAATTCTGTGTCATCTTTCTCACTAAAATAAAATCCAAACCAAAAACAAACAGCAAACATTTTGGAGACCTTTGGCAGGACATAAAAATAATTTGTTTGCTGACATGTTTTGAGCTGAAGCTAAAATATAACAAAGCATCTCGATTATGAGCATCTTATTGCACAGACTGAACTGTGCATACTGTTTGACCAAAACTAATATTGTGTGTAATAAGAAGGATGAATTTGTGCTGTTCTGGGGTTTTATACTACTGGTATTTTCCCCACATTGTATTATTCGCCTCCCATTCCTTTGAATGATGGGAAGGAAAAGGCAGTGCAGAAAGATGCATGTTGGAGAAAACAGGCATATTTCATAACCTGGAGGCCGTAACAAATGAAAAATGGTTTTAAAGGTTCCATCTTTTTTACTTAATCCCTCAGTCTTGGCTGCAGTCCTGTATGAGGATTTGCTAGAGTAGAGTTTTCAGACTATGTCACAAGGGCTAGAAACTTAGGTATTTTGTAATGTCTTTTGGCTGCATACATAAAAATAGAAGAAACATAAATGCTGTTATGTCCACATTTAACTGTGTTTTATTCACTATCCCCTCATTCATTGTGCCCATTTTGATAACTTTTGTACACTTTTTGTTTTATGTCCATCAGCAGCTTCCTAGAATTCAATGTAAAAACACAAAGTTAAGAAGAAAGTGTAGTTCAGCTACTGCTTGGATTAAATATCACTTTGCTTCTAGAAAACATAACCACTCTATGCTGTTTCAGTTTCTGTATCCTCATAATTGTTGGCCTATAAAGAAATTACCTTGCTGGAGTTTGTTGTCTTTCACTTGTTATGTTGTCTTAAGGTTTTCATTGTAAGCAGCCTTAAAACACTGAGATATAAAATTCTGGAAGGACTTTTATATATATTGTGTAGAAGATTGAACTAATATCTTCAAATTGCATGAAAATCAGTGTTTACATTCAACTGTTAAGTGTAATGATGAGAATACTGCAGTGAGGTTTTTATTTTGCACTTAATTTGTTGCATTCTTCTTCTCAGTGGGTAGCAGTTCCTATGCTTTGATTTTATCTTTACAGCAAAGTTCTGTTAAGAACTTGTAAATCTGAAAAAACTTATTAAACAATTAAGTCATTGTCCTTGCAAATACTTTATCAGTGGGCTTATCTGAGCTGTTAAATGATAGTGACAGTTGGTTCCTGCCATAAAGTCAAAATGAATAGCAGAGGATACACTCAAAATCAGCTTCGGAACAATAAAGTGTTTTTCTTTGGGTTTATTACATCTGCTTCCTATGGGCGCTAAACTGAAGCATGTTTATAGTTATAGGTCTCTCTTGGAAAGTTCTGTGTTTATCAGAATGGTGGCCTGGCTGTAAAGCAAAAAAAAGCAAGACTCCCTACTTAAAAAATTCTCCCTAATTACAACTACTTAGATCTGTAGAATAAGATGATACAGTTATTTGAAAATAATAATCCTGACAAGGATTTTGTATATTAGTACAGGATTCTAATGAACAATCAGGACTTCCACTTTTCAGTGGAAAAATTGTGCATCATCCCTTCTCTCTATTTGGTTGTGCTGTAATTAGGGAACTTATGCCATCAGGACAGGCATCCTCTTTCCTCCCCCAGCTCAAGTAAAAACTAACAGCTAATGGTTATAAGGCTTTTGTTTCAGCATTTTAGTATTTTTGCTGTCTGATTTTCAGGAAGTTGGATACTGTCAGGGAATGAGCCAGATCACAGCTTTACTCCTTATGTACATGAATGAAGAAGATGCCTTCTGGGCCTTGGTGAAGCTTCTCTCTGGTCCCAAGCACGCGATGCATGGTATGGAGTTTTGTGTCACTTACTATGAATGTGTAAAGGCCAAGTGTCAAGAGGATCATAGAATCATAGAATATTTTATAATTTATTTTTGGTTTGGCTCTTCCACGTGATGGTTTCTTGATGATACTCCCTAGGTTTTGCTGTACAGAAGACAGTGAACGTTCCCCCTCTGCTGTTTATTTACAGAATCACAGACAGAATCACAGAATCGCCAAGGCTGGAAAAAGATCTTTGAGATCATCAAGTCCAGCCTATGACCTAACACCACCACATCAGCTAGATCATATAACCTAGGCCCTTAACCCAGACCATTTAATCTAGACCATTTAATCTAGAACCTGGACCCTTAACACTAGAGTCCTAACCCTGGACAGAATCATCCTAGAAGATCATCTAGTCCAACCATAAGCTAAATCCCCCCACCATAACCTAATCTACCCTATCAGTGCTTAAATCAGACTGCTAAGCACTATATCTATATTTCTCTTAAATACTTCTGTGGATGGTGACTCCACCACCTCCCTGGACAGCCTGTTCCGCTGTCCAACCACTCTTTCAGTAAATAAATTCTTTCTAATATCCAATATAAACCTCCCCTAGTGCAGCTTCAGGCCATTTCCTCTGGTACTGTCATTATTCATCTGATGGAAGAGGCCAACTCCTGCCTCCCTACAACCTCCTTTCACGTAGTTGGAGAGAGCAATAAGGTCTCCCCTCAGCTTCCTCTTCTCTAAACTAAACAATCCCAGTTCCCTCAGCCTCTCCTCATAGTGCTTATTCTCCAGACCTTTCATCAGCTTGGTAGCTCTTCTCTGGACCTACTCCAGCAGCTTTACATCCTTCCTGAAGTGAGGGGCCCAGAGCTGGACACAGTACTCGAGATGTGGCCTCACCAGTGCCACTTCAGGCTGATCAGATGTATCATTTTAGTCAGTTCTTGACACAGAAGTGGTTGTACACTTTGATAATTTCTGTGATTTCTTGCCTTTTCTGGATTTTCCAGTCCTCTTTCAGGATGGCTAGGTCTTGGTTGATCAATCACAGTGTGAACATGTCACGTGTCAGCTTACGTCCCAGTACAAACTTCTGTGCAACTTCATGGAGGAAGCCTTTGGTCTTTTTTATTTTACTATCTTTTAACTCATTGGATTAATTGCTGTAGGAGATGGACTGAAGAGGTGAAGCTACTTCATTAATAGAACCTATTAGGTACCTTTGGAAAGTCAAATAGCCAATATCCACTGCTCTCAGCGCCTACATGCTCACTGATTTCTTCAAGGAAGCCCAGTAGATTTAAAAGACGTGACCTCTTCTTCGTAAAAAGTGTTGATTCTTCCCTGCTGCATTGCATCTATCCGGATCTCCACTCACTCTTAACTTTCTGTATTATGGTTTCTGCCAGTTTCCTCTTGGAGCATTGACCTGAATATTGGACTAATGTTAAACTGAAAACCAGTTTCAGAAAAGCTGATGTGTCTGCCACTTTCCAGGCTCCTTGTATTTTACGCAGGAGGTTTCATAGAATAGATATTCCAGCTGGTTGATTTTTTGAGTTCTTCTAGAGCTGCTTAGGATTCTGACTTGGGAACATCCTTAGTATCCTTAATGGAAAAATTTAACTCTGTTTTAGTCTTGACATTACTTCTCTGAGCACTTCTAAAAATCTTCACAGACTGGTACCTACAAATTCCTTCTCAGGATTTCTGCTTCCAAGGTGCTTGAAAATAGGTCTATTAGTGTTTTTTAATGCCTTTGTAAGTTGTTTTTTGGGGAAGGCTTGTTTTTCACATTTTTGTTCTGCCAATGTTTGATCATCTCTGTTTAGTTTGGGGTTTTTTTTCAATGTGAACACAGCTTCAGCTTTTTGAGGGATCTTCTTTGAATGTTTTTTTTCCTGCTGTGTAGTTGTACTAGTTTTCCTTTACGTTTCAAGTTTTTTAGCTAGTGTTTCATGTTTGCTCTGAGCCTTTTTTTAACTCTACTGATAACTCAACTGGTAGGGGGTCCTAGTCCTTTCCTTTTCCAGTGTATGATCACTAAAACTATTCAAGATTTTTAATATGTCTTTAGTTGCACTTGTGTGAGCATTTTACACTATATATTCCTATTTGTCTTGGTAGAATATCCCTCTTGTCCCTCTTGTCTTTTTTCTTTTTTTTTATAGTTGTTTCTTTAGCACAGACAGTTCTAGTAGCTGCTTGTGCTGTTTGTCCTTGGGCATAATCCTGATTTATGTCTTTTAAAAGTTTTAGTTGGTGCAAGTTGTGGTTTTCTGTTTTGTTTTTTAAAGAATAATTATAAATTTGGTTTTTAGTCTACCCACAGTGAGGAGACTAAAGTAGGAATGATGAATCTGCTGCCATCTACCATTACTAATTTAATAATAGTCACTAAGGGAACGTATTGATGTTTTGCTGTAGTCATTTAGGCAGAAATATGTGCATATCCATATGTGGGCATCATAATGTTGCTATGAATATCTGTTCAGATCCAGTGGTCTTAGAGAGGGATAATGTACTCAAAGCTCGGAATGCCTTTTTTAATGTCATTTTACAGTACATACATATTTTACATGGTCAGCTTCTTTTCTTAGGTTTTTTTATTCCTGGTTTTCCAAAACTGTTGAGGTTTCAAGAACATCATGACAAAATACTGAAAAAATTTTTGTCCAAGCTTAAGCAGCACTTGGTAAGTATTTATATCACAATAAAAGCAATACTAATTTACAGCTTGCTACCTTGTTTCAGTTCAGGTTAACCAAGTCAAGAATACCTCAAACCTCAGAAAAAATGCAGAGCTCTCACAAAGCAGAAGTGCTGTTGTTTTCATTGTAGACAAAGTTAAGTTGCATCTTGTAAAGTTTCAATAAAATTGGATCTGAAGAGTAATTAAATTGGGTGTCTGTCTCACTTTTGACCTCTTAGTGAGGGAAAGTATGTGCTCCTTTTACCTGGCCTTGTGCACACTGCTGTATTGCAAGCTAATGTTAAGACCTGCTCTCAAGATTTTATTGTATGTAGAGCTTTGTGGCTGATCTCTGGGCAAAGGTGACTTCACAACCAACCAGTTTTAATGTCTGTTTAAAAAATAACCTTTAGAAGAGGAGTTAATGGCCCTTAAAAAATTCACAATATTCAATAGTATTTTCACAAAGCTTAATGTTTAGTGTTAGGTCTTCTAATGCTCTTAAATAGGAAATAGTATGTTTTTTATTTTTTTTCCTAATACTGACTGTATTTATTCTAAGAAACAAATGTTTCTAATGAGAGAAAAATTCCCTTCCAACGGTCTTAAATAATTTTATTTTACAAACACATTCGTTCTGCCAGAATCTATCTCCAAAGGTAGTGTTAGAAATACTTTGTTGCAGTAACATCCTCAGAGAGTGGTGGCTGCTGTACAAATATAAATTCCTAGGACTATATTATTTTCTGTTTAATGTGTTTATCTCCTTAGAAAAAGAAAAGACGACAGTTTGGGAGCAGACTGGCACCTTGGCAATGATGAATTGTATCTAATGGGTGCCTGTTGTATTGTAAAATAGAATTTAATGTATTTTAACAACATGCTGTAAGACCTGCTCATAACATGGAATGAGGCAGATCTGGTTAGGGAAAAAAGCCATTCTTCTGTTAAAAAGTCAAGTCAAAATTAGTCATGCAAGATGATCTTGTCATATTAAATTTAAAAAAATTAAAATAATCAAGACCAGTTCTGTAACTAACAGGAGTCTGAAATGAAAGTTGTGGATTCCATGAGAGATGATGATTTTTATTTAGAAAGTCTTACTCTCACTGTTGACATTGTCACATTTCAGGAGCAAAATATAGACTAATCCCAAGAAGACTGGGTGGTTTTAACAGTAAATGGTAAAAGGCTCTTATACTTTATAAAAATCAAAAAATAATTATACGTGATTGAGGTGATACAACCTGAGGCTGGCATGTTACTAAATTTTGTATATTGCTGATAAACATCTTATTACTGCATTTAATAATCAAGAACTTTATTTATTGTCATCTGTCCTCCATCTCCCCTCCTGTCTTGGGTCACTTGAAAAGAAAGTTTTAGAAAAGTGAAGAAAGTTACTTTGGTAACTGAAAAAGCTAATTTCAATAAAATGCTTTAATAACTCCTTCTGAGGGGACTTCCTGGCTGCTTGTTTAGAAGGAATCCAGAAAACACTCTGTATATTTATTATGTATTTTTCTTTTCAGTTTTAAATTGGAACTTTGTTCTAATTTCGTGTGAGTTGTTTGAGTGGCATCAAATTTAATAGCAACCAGGTTTTTTAATTAGGGAAACACATGGTACATGATATCTGTCTTTCAGTAGGGTGATGGCCATTCTTACAGGCTAGAAATATCTCAAAATGGAACAGTTTTTGTTCTGTCTGCTTTTTTTTAAAGAATCTGAAAATGAACATCTCAAAAATATTGTATCAATTGTACTAAGAATTATTTTTCCTCATTTCCTACTGAAAATGTATTGCTAAGATGAGTCCATTTTAACTTGCTGAAAGATGAAGGTAAAGCCTTCAGATAAAAGAGAGGGATTTGATCCATGGCTTATTCAGTGTTTGTATACTGGAAATTTGTGGGAAAGATGAATGTGGCAAGAATAAAATACAATGTTTTACCAAAGTTAAAATTCAGCGTTTCTTAACTTTTCACTTTTACTTTGTCTTTTCTCTAACTGTGCAAAGAACTTTGAAGAGCTCCATGAAGCTGCAAAGCAGCTTTAGCCATCTCTGATTAGGATGGCATACCAGATGGACCATCTATGCTCTAGGGAAAATTAGGCCCCTTAATTAAGGAATTAAATACCTCATCAGCATAGGTGCTGGTTGAGGTGCTGTGTGTGTAGAATTTGATTGGTTTAGGTTGGTTTCTGGTAGATAGGTGTTCTTTTCACAGAATCTTTTCAACCTTTGGCATGAATTGGCCGCCTTGCTATAGAGAAGTGAATGACTAAATGGACCCAGTGCCTGAAACTTGGCTGGTCCAGAATATTGATTTATTATCTTGAGAGAGCATTTCATCCTTTGCTACCCCTGTCCCAAGAATAAGATGGAGGTCTAAGATCTGTTAGTACCTGTGCATCTCCAAAAGCGTGTTTCTTCAGGTGGTGAAGTTAATAAAGAAAACCTGTAAAAGACAGATACTGTATTTTTTGGATTGAAGTAACAGTTTCATGTAGCTAAATTAATTATTTATGGTGAATATTTGGTTCATTGGCCTCAAGGTGAATGTGTTTTTTCATGGACAGTGCAAGGTATTACTTGTTTTTTCTGACTATTTTTAAACTTCTGCATTTTTTACAGGACTCCCAGGATATGTCCACTAGCTTCTACACAACAAAGTGGTTTTTCCAGTGTTTCCTTGATCGTGTGAGTATGTTTTTCATTTTCTGTTCCTGTTTTTAATTATGCCTTGGAACAAACCATTTTCACAGTGTTGCCTGACTCTGTCATTGCAGACTCCCTTTACATTAAGCCTCAGGATATGGGATATCTACATACTTGAAGGAGAGAGGATTCTCACTGCGATGTCTTACACGATTCTGAAACTGCACAGAAGTAAGAAATGTCTCAAACTTTTTGAATGCTAAACAGAAAATCATCTGGATTCTTACTTTGTGTAGCTTGACCTTGTGTGAAAGCTTAGGTTTCCCGTTTGTCTTATGCTATTACTGACAAATATTTTTCTTTCCTTATGCACTAAAAGATAAAAATCTTTGCCTTATTCACATCTGTTTGGCAAATAAATCTTGTCCGGATGTCAGGTGCCCACCAAGCTGCTCTGTCTCTCCCTTCCTCAGCAGGATGAGGCAGAGAGAAAATAAGATGAAAAAATGTCAATAAGATGGTCAAGATAAAGGCATTTCAATAAAGCATAATCTTTGTGCAGAAGCAAAGGAAAACAAAAGTTTATTCTCTATTTCCCATCAGCAGGTGAAGTCCAGCACTTCCAGGGAAGCAGGGGTTCAATCAGGGTAGTGGTTGCTCTGGAAGGCAAATGTTGTAGTAACAAATGCCCCTGCTCCTCCTTTCTTTTAGGACTTAGGCTCAGCAATAAAAACTATGGTATGGAATATCCCTTGGGTCAGCTGTCCTGGATATCTTTCCTCCTAGCCTCTTGCCTACCCCCAGCGTAAGGGTGGGTGGAAGGAGGACAACACAGGACACACACTGGAGAGACAGCCTTGATGCTGTGGAGCACTACTCAGTTGCAACCAAAACACTGCGGTGCTATCAACACCTTTTTTAGCTACCAAAAAAAAGCATTGTACTATAAAGGCTACTGTGAGGAAAATTAACTCCATCTCAGCCAGGCCCAGTAGAGTGGGCCTTGCCAAAGGAAAGTATTTATTACAGTAAGAAAGTTTATTTAAATTTGACATGACGTGAGCTGTATTGCTGCTTCAAAATGGGGAAAAAATGCTGTAGTTCGTGGTTTGGAAATGGCCTGTTAGCCCCTACAGAATTTGAATTAATAAAAAAAGTGCACAAATAATCTAGAACATGCCACCAAATATCTGAAACTCCATCAGCAAAGGATTCAGCAACGAGGAATCACCAGCTCATGTCTCTTTATACCATTGTTAGTGCAAGAATGTAATTAAAATTCAGAATTTGTGTAGTCTGCCTGGATGGCCTTCTCTTTCATCTCTTGCCTTTGAGATTTTGAATTGAGGAATTGTCTTAAGTATTTATGCCTGGTTCCTCAAAGTGATTTAGAATCAAACTGTGACAGATACCATCCAGCTTGAGTTTGATACAGTCTTACTCTGGGTCTTTGGCTTTCTTAGTGAAGTCATTTTACTCTGTAAATTCAGAGGTCTGTGTGGAGCTTGCAGAATTGATGTCTTAATTTGCATGCTAGTTTACCCTCCTTGAACTGTGGTGATGCTACCTCACTATCTCACTGGGGTGTATTCATTAGTTTGTTCATAAACTGGTTTGAAAAATGGAAAACTGTTACTTTTTTAATTATAGTACTTCAGATAGCTAAACAGTTAGAGGAAAATCGTTAGCCTTAGCATTTTGGTTTCTCTTCTTTATTTGCAAATAGACATCTATTTGAATTTTTTTTTAATTCACTAGTCTTTTTATGGGAAGTAAAAAGAGGAAAAAGTGTAGATTTGTTTGCTTAGCAAGTCCTTCATGATCAAAACACCAAGAGTACCTTGTAGCAATAGAGATTAGAGGGATTGCTGGGAAGGTGGCAGAAGATGGAGTCTGATTTGTTTTCCAGTCTCTTGTCTACCCTTAAAAATGTTGATGGTGTAACTATCCAGTCCAAGTGTCATTGTGGAATACATGCCAAGAGCATTTTTATCACAGTGGTTTCTTTATAAAAGTTGTACATTCTGGAGCTTTTGATGGCTACCTAGGTGTGTAGTTGCAGCCTTGCAAGCCACATAGGTTTGTGTATGAAACACAGCTTTACTAGTGTGCTAAAAGGGAAAGAAAAATAATCTGATAACCATAAAATATGACTTTCCAAATATGATCTGAATTTGACTGAAGTAGCAAAAAGTACCTGAGTTTTCAGAGACCCTGAAGCAATGTTTCTGAAGTGTGAACTGCCATCACATTTCATTGGAAGTTAATTCAGTTGTGAATGAGAATGCTGTAAATACAATTTTCAAATGTTTTACTGCTTTTCAGTGCTGTTAATAAGGGAGGATGCAGGCTGAAAAATGAAGGCCTGAAGCTGTTGAACATAAAAAGGCTGAAGGAGGGTGACTTGTAGTTAGTTTTCTGAAGAAGTTTTCAAAACTCTGTCCTAAGTAGAGAATGATAAGTAGAAAACATTTCCCTGCTGATTTGCAAGTTAATTTTCCATGTATTTTATAGATTTCTGGTGTAGAATTCAGTTATCTGCTTAATAAGGGTTTTTCATTCTACTTTGAAAACAAAAGCATCATATGTCTGAAGTACATTTTCCAATGTTCACAATCAAGCCATTTTAATATATAATGTTTTCTTCTTATATAGAGCATCTGATGAAATTACAAATGGAAGAGCTTGTAGAATTTCTGCAGGAGTCTTTAGCCAAGGATTTCTTCTATGAAGATGACTTTGTAATAGACCAGCTCCAAAATTCTATATCAGAATTGAAACGAGCAAAGCTGGATTTACCAGTAGCTGGTAAGAAGCTTGTAGAGATGCTGATTTAGATATTAAGAGCTATTCACACATCGTCCATTTTTAAAGTGTTAATTTGTGCTGTTAAAAATTGTGCAAATATTTATCTCTTCATCACTGCATAGCTTTTGAGCTTTTTCTCCTAAAATATTTTAGAGTTTGAAATCAAACCCTTCACTTAATGAATTTGCTCTTTTTTAAATGTTTTGTTCACTGATTGTAAGCTAATGGCAAAGAACTTTACAATACCCCATAATCTGATAATTTTATTAAATTAGGTTTATAAAATCTTTAAGACAAAAGATTAAATACCAATAATTCAAATTTTTTGAAGCACCAGCTTTCTCTGATTATCCAGGTGTTTTTTTAACTTGTTTGGCTATGAAACAAACTTCAGGTCTAATAGTCAAAACCAGGTTTTTAGCTCTTTAGAAGTGACAGACATTCTGGCTGTTTAACTGAATTATATTCTTTGTTTTTTTTCTGAGCTTTTGTGTTTTTATTTTTCTGTTACAGACCAGGTATGGTTGTTTCATGGGGCTCTACTTAAAATATGTGTAAAGGATCTCTTCTTCCTCTATTAAGATTCTGTTTTCTATCCCTATCTCCACAATCTTTAATTGGAATTTTTCTTGTGATTTTTTTGAGAGTCCTTTTTCTTTATCCCTGCTAATTGTAAAATGCGAGTATGCGAGAAAGGAAAAAAAAACACAACAAAAAAAACCCCAACAAAACTATGGCAAAAATTACCTTCAACTAACTTTGTTAAGTTGCTGTGGTTAGCTTTCAGGAGTTAAGTAGTATCAGAATAAAGGTTGTCTATGTAGCAACCCATTGTGATAATTTGTTCCTGAAGCTCTTTCATTAATGAACTTAATTTTTATGTTTCTGTAGACCTTACTCATTGTGTGCAGTACTGTGCTGTATTAGCTCCACACAAACAGATTATTTCATGCAGCTCAGCAGATGTGCCCTTCAATATTACAAACACTTTCTCTACACTTGTTTCCCGATTATCTTGGCTTCTTTTCGGAGTTTCCCATTTCTCTTGCTCCCTGCTCCTGCGTTTTGCCTCCTTTCTGACTTCCTGTAACACCTCTCCAGCACACTTTCTCCCACCCTTCATAGGTCTAAGTCCTGATTCTGCTCTTGCCTTTTTGTCTGCTCAGTCTTCTTGGTCCTTCTCATCTACAGACTATGTTCTTGAGTCTGCAGCTCTTCCTCATGTTACTGTGTGCACTGCCTCTTCCCCTTTCCAATCGCAGCCCGACAGAAAGAGTGAGGCATAAGAGTCTCCTTGTGGGGACCAACAGCAAAGCGTACTGAATGTATCCAATTTGGCAATGGAATGCTAGAATGCTAGTTGGTTTCATGGTTTGTACACTTAACTGTAACTTCTGATATGACTGACAGGACAGTAATTGTTTTGAGCCATATGGTTCTTTCTTAAGGACAGCTAAAGCAACATCAATGACGATAAAATGTCTTTTGTTTTCAACATGAATGAAGGTTTCATATTAAAATAAGAAAAGCAAAGCCAAAGTGAAGTCTGCTTTGGTACTGGATGAGGAATTCAGCTTTTTTCTCTTGAATTTCTAAGTAGACTGGGAAAGCTTCTCTGTGTGGTGTTACTTCTGCTGGGGGTAAATGAGAACATTACTTAACCTTTCACAAAACAAACAGAAAATGCCTTCATCCTAATCCTTGAGAATCTAGCTGATTTGTCTGCTGTTATCTGTAGATGAGCAAGGCTGCCTCATTTGTTCTTTATATGAATTAAACAATCCTTTGATTTATTTTTTTTCCCACTGATGTTCATTTTGGTTTTACTAATCACTGTCTTCAGGCAATTATATTTTTTTACAGGTTCTCAGCATTCTCTAGACATTCAGCTTTGCTTACGTGTCTGTCTGACTGCACTATTTTTACTACCTTCAGTTTCTTTTAACTATTTTTCTTCTAATTTCATAGAAAACTTACGAAACCATTACACATCAGGCAGTAATACACACAAAAAATACCAGGATATTCATTTCAGTATCCATTGTAGCCTGAGAAGACAGTGGTTATTTTAGTTTTCTCAGCTGAAATCAAAGCACCACTTCCTATCTTGTACTACTTTTTTTTTTCATTGAGCAACAATTACACCTTTAAGAGCTAAAGTAAAAATGCATGTTAGGAAAAAAAAAATCTCCATCTTACAGTTGCATCAGTATCAGTCATCCAGGAAGAGCAGTCAGCTAATTAAGCTCAGTGGAATTTTCCATCTGGCATCCTGTGTTAGGCTGTATAGATTTTTTCTGCCCTAGTAGGGTGAGCTGCAATAGGATATTAAAAGAGGTAATAACTTTTTGCATTACTTTAATGTGGATGTCTGTTGTAGCTTTCTCTGGCTTGCTTCCTCTATGGCTTCTCCCACTGAATTAAGGAGCTCCTTGTTCCCTTCAGAGCAGAGAGGAAGGAAGGGGCTTTAACACTTTTCTCACTGATAAAACCCTTAAAATGCTCAGCCAGAACATGGACGTTAAGAGGATCATTCTAATTTTGGATGTCAGCGAAATGCTTCTGCCAGTACTAGGGCTGTTTTACATAAAGCAGACGATGGATTTTCATTCCTCTTTGTGATGATTTCCAGTCTAGCTGCTGGCCAGTATAGGATAGCGTATACTTAGCAATTGCAGCCTCCAGAGGATGGCTTACATCTTAAGTGCTATTCTCAAAGCCCAAGGTAGGCATTCCTCCAATTTGGCAATGGAATGCTAGAATGCTAGTTGGTTTCATGGTTTGTACACTTAACTGTAACTTCTGATATGACTGACAGGACAGTAATTGTTTTGAGCCATATGGTTCTTTCTTAAGGACAGCTAAAGCAACATCAATGACGATAAAATGTCTTTTGTTTTCAACATGAATGAAGGTTTCATATTAAAATAAGAAAAGCAAAGCCAAAGTGAAGTCTGCTTTGGTACTGGATGAGGAATTCAGCTTTTTTCTCTTGAATTTCTAAGTAGACTGGGAAAGCTTCTCTGTGTGGTGTTACTTCTGCTGGGGGTAAATGAGAACATTACTTAACCTTTCACAAAACAAACAGAAAATGCCTTCATCCTAATCCTTGAGAATCTAGCTGATTTGTCTGCTGTTATCTGTAGATGAGCAAGGCTGCCTCATTTGTTCTTTATATGAATTAAACAATCCTTTGATTTATTTTTTTTCCCACTGATGTTCATTTTGGTTTTACTAATCACTGTCTTCAGGCAATTATATTTTTTTACAGGTTCTCAGCATTCTCTAGACATTCAGCTTTGCTTACGTGTCTGTCTGACTGCACTATTTTTACTACCTTCAGTTTCTTTTAACTATTTTTCTTCTAATTTCATAGAAAACTTACAAAACCATTACACATCAGGCAGTAATACACACAAAAAATACCAGGATATTCATTTCAGTATCCATTGTAGCCTGAGAAGACAGTGGTTATTTTAGTTTTCTCAGCTGAAATCAAAGCACCACTTCCTATCTTGTACTACTTTTTTTTTCATTGAGCAACAATTACACCTTTAAGAGCTAAAGTAAAAATGCATGTTAGGAAAAAAAAAATCTCCATCTTACAGTTGCATCAGTATCAGTCATCCAGGAAGAGCAGTCAGCTAATTAAGCTCAGTGGAATTTTCCATCTGGCATCCTGTGTTAGGCTGTATAGATTTTTTCTGCCCTAGTAGGGTGAGCTGCAATAGGATATTAAAAGAGGTAATAACTTTTTGCATTACTTTAATGTGGATGTCTGTTGTAGCTTTCTCTGGCTTGCTTCCTCTATGGCTTCTCCCACTGAATTAAGGAGCTCCTTGTTCCCTTCAGAGCAGAGAGGAAGGAAGGGGCTTTAACACTTTTCTCACTGATAAAACCCTTAAAATGCTCAGCCAGAACATGGACGTTAAGAGGATCATTCTAATTTTGGATGTCAGCGAAATGCTTCTGCCAGTACTAGGGCTGTTTTACATAAAGCAGACGATGGATTTTCATTCCTCTTTGTGATGATTTCCAGTCTAGCTGCTGGCCAGTATAGGATAGCGTATACTTAGCAATTGCAGCCTCCAGAGGATGGCTTACATCTTAAGTGCTATTCTCAAAGCCCAAGGTAGGAATTCCTGCTCCAGTGACTCTGTGGAGACGGGAAACCATATGGATAAGCACACTTCTTGGCAAGCTGCTAGGTTCTCAAGCCTTCAGAGAGGCAGGCTATGACATCCTTACAGTAGAAACTGGCCTCTGAGGTACTTCTCTTCTGACATATCTTCAAGCAAATTTATTAGAAAAGACAGTTGGTATTTTCTGGATTGCCTGAAGCATTATGAAGGATGTCCACACCATGGCGGCCTCATGAACAGCACACTCATCTAAATCTGCATGACTTCTCTTTACATCTTCTCAAGGAACCAGCTCTGTTGTGGACCAGACAATCTCTTCCTTAGTTCAAGGATGATGTCTAGACCACAGCAAAAGGAATTTTCTTAGTATATACCATTGATTCCCAAAATTTCTTGTGGCACATTCTTTTTTTTTTGGCAGCAGAATTCTTCAGATACTCACAGATAGAATTTCCAACTTTGCTAGAAGTTACTCCTGTAGGGCTACATAAATAATGCAATGCTTAATAAACAATATTTATATATTAATACATAGATTTTTATAGTGTCTTGAGTTTAATAAACAAAAGCACTTACCAGTGAAAGTTGAATATTCGACTTAAAAATATGTGACTGAAAACAGTTTATTAATCTAGTGCTTCATAAACAAGACAGTCAGGCCCAAGGCCTTCAAGGCTGAATGTTCTCAGGTCTGTTCTTGGGACAATATCTCACCTACGTTTTGATATAAGGTGTCCTGAAAAGGGAGGGCATAGGAATCCTGGGTGGAATTTTTTTATGCCTGCATGTTTAGTAGACCTTACAACAGCTGATGTGGCCTTAAATCAGAGGTAAAGGGCTTGTACCTTAATTTTAAAG